AAGTTATATGTATAAGTTATGTGCATAACTTTATCACGTTGAAGGTATATGTTGAAGTGTATAATTTATACGTATAAGTTATACATTAAAGTTTGTCTATAAGCAATGTTTTCCTAAACGGTAAACGGTTTTTACACGGTCGTCCTTCGTTTAGCGTTTAGGATGTTTACACGGTGTTTAAACGAAGTTAAACGGTCTAAATAGTTTTGTATTTAAAAAAAATACATATAATTATATATGTGCACGTAAAAAATTAAGTATTCTAGCATTTATATATATTTATTCGAGTAAAAATCAATTATTTTGGTATGTATATATATTTATGCATGTGAAAAGAATCAAATATATATATTTATGCACGTAACATATCAAGTGTATACATTTATAAGTATGATAAACTTAAGTATACAAATTTATCCATACAAAACCGAACTAGATTTACCTTGTATTCGCCTAAACAACCATTTAAATAGCTATTTAGCCTATTTAATGTTGTTTATCTTTGTTCCGTTTAGACCGCTTAGACCATTTTTTTCCGTTTTTTTTGACCGTTTAAACGATCAACCGTTTAATTTTCGTTTGCTTCCTAAATAAAACAGTCTAATCGTTTACTGGCCGTTTTTAGACCGTTTAGGCAAACACTGTCTACGAGTTATGTGAAAGTTGTGAGTATAACCTTCTAACTTTCCAAAAAGGAAAGACCCAGAAATATTTTTTTCCAAGAAAAGGAAGTTGGTAGGCTGCTGGATCGTTGATTCGCTGATCCCGTGCGTGCGCAGCCGTGCACGCGTAAAGAGAATGAGCACGCACGCAACACCAACCAAATATGAAAAAGTGGTGGAATTATTTTTTCCCAAAAAAGGAAGCAGCAGCGTGTCCGAATTTTATTCGTCGGATTCAGTTGCAATGAACGTTTGAGAATTAGTGCGCCCTATTTTTATAGCTTCCACATGAGTAATTGTCATATACATATATTTTCTTTATCAAGGGTCTGATGGAGCTACATGCATCATAGTGGATGTAGCATCACTCTCAAAAAAATAGATAAACATTAAAAAAAGCTAATTTTTTTTATCATATTTGCACCATCATATTGTAAATCCTTGCTCCCACAAGGCAAGCAACACCTCCACGAATTTGGGGATTGATTGGTTTACGGTTAAAATTTGTCATACTAAGAATTTGGCAAGCCATGATTTTGGCTATTGTTTGGTTTACTACAAAAACTTGCCAACCTCTCACATTTGGTTTGACAAATCCATGATTTTTTTTTTCTAACTTTGGCTTACCAAATCCATGGCATGGCAACAAACCAATCAGGCCCTTGCTCTAGTTATGCACTTATTAATTGACTAGATGAGTGCATGTGTGTTGCAATGAGTGCAACATAAATTGAATGAGATGTTATTATTTGCGGTGATTATTTGTCTAGCCGGTGATTCCGTGAGTTTTATTCTATTTTATTTACTTGCCTTACAGTGTCTCCATGCGGTGATTATTTTGCTCGTCGGATATGGATCGCATGAGATGTGGTGATTATTTGCCTGCCGGATATGAATTGCATGAGATGCGATGATTATTTACCTGCCGGATATGGATCGTATGAGTGTTTTGGTCTTGCTGGGTAGATGTTGACAATACGAATGTTTTAGTTGTAGAGAGAAACATTTTCAGGCTTCTCATCTATTGAAGATAGAGCATTGTCTTTCATTAATATTTCAAGCTAAAATCATGAACAAACCAAGGAACATTCCACAATGAGAGAAATTTTCTCGACACTAAGAGAGGTGTAATGCTCATTCTAATAGTTGCTTAAACTGACCAATTCTTCCTCCATGATACTGTGCAACACTATACAAAAATCCGTAGCAACACAAGTGTTAGGTGAATTTATATGCAGGACTGTTTTGCTAAATAGTTCACCAAAACAGTTTTAACTTTATTATACTGGTAATAAAAAGCTGCTCGTGAAGCTGAGTCCAAAAGCTAATTCACTATTAAAGTTGAGCTGTGTCGGCCTAAATATAAAGCAGAACTTAAATATGGAAAATTAGGCTTATTTCTCCCTTAATAATCTAGTTAGGCCCAGCGTAGCCCAAGAGGCCAGGAGCATAGCGCAAACTTTGCGGCCTAGGTCGGCCCGTAAACACCTTATCCAGAGGGCCAGGCCGTTCTCCACTTAGAGCCCATCAGCAGTCCGGTTTTGCAAACCCTAATGCCAGTCGATGTCGACCGTTGATGCAAGATAAACGGACAGGGCGTCCGGTGACTAAAAAAACCTCGTCCCAAACGGCGAAACCTAGCCGATCAGCCGTCTCTTTCTCCCCTGCTCCTCCCGCGCATGCCTTTAGCGACACCGTTCCTCCGCCGCCGCAGCTCACCGGCGCCTCGGCCGGTCTTCTCGCCGGCGCGCGCGTGCGGTAAGGCCACGCGCGGCTCTGTCGAGGAGACCCGCCGGGGTGCTCTTACGGTGGCGCCAGGCATCAAAAGGTGCGGCGTCGGTGACGGCCACCACTGCAATGGCAATGGCGCCTCCGACTGGAGGCCGCGAGCCGAGGCCTGCCGAGGCGCACGTGCCGCGTTTGATGGTGCGCGCGCATTCGAGGCAGACCCGGTCAGGCGTTCGAGTCCGTCTCCGGCTTCGACGACTACGACGTCAGCCGAGCTCATGGCGCATCGAGGTTACCAGTCGACAAAGACCATCGGAGGTGCTCGTCGGCGTCCACGTGCGACGATGACTTATGCTACACGTGGCAGCAAGTAAGTTCGCTCAAAATTTATGGTTGGGGTTTCCTTTTTTTTTGGGAATTTCAATTTGAGCAAAAATCTGGTGATTTTTATTATGGTTTCATAATTAGCTGAGTCCCCTCCTATTCTCTGTGCTTATTCTGAGTTGTGAATAAAATCACTAATCGCATGATTTTTGTGCTTAATCCAAACTCAATTGCCTGGACCAGGGAAAACCCTAAAATAGTTATTTATCAACTTAAGCTTGAATTAGGCTAAACTAATTGTGGTATCTAATCCTGCGTCTGATCGGTGCTTAGGAGCTTAGAACGTGTTTGGTTCGGACATTTTACTCCGTTACCTATTAACAGCGGCACCTTATTACTTTATTTATTGTTTGGTTGGTCTGGTGTAATCGACTGATGCGGTATCAACTGCCGGCCTTCAGAAAGGTGTAATTGACCGACGCTGTATCGGCTACCGGCCTTCAGAAAGGTGATACCGCCCACTTTCTCAGGTTATCGATTGCGTCCCGGAGCATTCTCATGCGTGAGGCAGCTCCCGCCTGATCCAAACAAAAGGCGTAAAGAATTGCACTGTAACAGATTGCCATGTTAATCGATTACATTGACGTTACCATCCCAAAATTTGAACCAAACAGCACCTTAGTATCATGAACTTAATCCGTGCCTAATTCCAACGAAACAGTGAGTCCTAGGCCTTAATTTGATCTTATTCAACCTTAGGGCACTTGGAGACTAACAGATTGAACCTTGACTTAGGCATGCATAATCAATCATTAACTAATCATGCTTAATTGAGTCAAATTTTTACTGTTCTAACTTAGATCAGTCTAATGGGCATAAAAGCATGAATGAAATTGATCTACTTTAGACTAATCATTACACGAGCATGTTTAATAGATCTATTTTTGGAACAAATCACCAACTTAATATTAATATATAGATCAATCTGAACCAATCTAAACAGAAGCATAAAACTAATCAAACTCTGGCTTAGTGTCATGTTAGGTCTAAGCAGGTTCTTGATACCAATTGTTGTAATTGATCTTAAACATAAACAGGATCTAAATCTTAGCCTACACATGATCACAAACATACACTTAATGTGGAAATTAATCTCTTATACTGACCAGAGCTTCTTGTTGTCATCTGTGTGCCTCTGTAGTAGGAGTTGATGTAGACGAACTAGATATACTTGTCTTCACCAATTTGAGAGCTATGGCTCTGCTTGATGAAGAACTTGATGTGGATGTAGACGTGCAGCCTCCTGGAACATGGAGCTGAACTTCCAACCCCTTGCAGCGTGTAATAGGTTGGTTAGATGGGTTTAGGTTTGGAGGGTATAACATTAATCCGAAATCACCTTTGGTCTTATTTATACAATGTTGTGGGTTAGGGGCTGACTCCTGAGAGCATCTCCAAGAGCCTATCTAAATCTTACTCTCTAAATCATCATTTGAATAGTCATTTGCATAAGAATTGCTTTCTATATCTTTTCATTCTCCAACAGTTCTTCTATATCTAATGCGTACTCTAGAAAGCCATTCTCGTCTTCTATTTTTGCTAGCGAAAAATCCGCAATAGAATATGGCTATATTTGGATAAACATTTAGAGATGCTGTTGGAAGATAGTTTTTCACTAAAATCTCTATTCCTAGCATTTAGGAAGGATATTTGGATAAACATTTAGAGAGCTGAGAACCCTTAGCGTTGTGGCTGATCATGGCAAATAATCTAACAGATGTGGCAATGTCAGGTGGACCTTTACTTGTGTGCCAAGCTGGTCTTGGTTAACTGAGATCACATCCAACACAGTTTACTACTTTCTTTACAAAAGAGAAAGCGACCCACCAGGTGGTCCTGCACTCGTAAGAACATGTCATGAATTGAAGTCCCGACAGGCTTCACCTTCACCCATGCATGTAAGAGAAGAAACAGAAAAGAGCCAGATTGAGGCTTGAGACTTACATGCCCCTTGGGTGCTTTGCTGTTGTTCTCAAGCAAAGCTAAGTGGGGTTAGATACTTGCCTTGGCGCTTTCATTTGCCCAGGTTCATACACGTTGCACGTAAAGTACAATAATTTCATGCACATTGCCTTGCCTTGGTAGTACAACTGTAGTAGTAGTTAAATCTATCTTGACCCTCCAGACATGCATCCAGAGACTAGAGTCTGTCGCAACCCTCTAGCCTTGTCCAGCTGAACTCTTAGATCAAACTGGTAGCTCCAGGCTAGGGCAACAGCCACAACGATGGCTGAGCTCGCGGCAGGCGCCGTCAGCTCGCTTTTGAATGCCATCCGCGATGAGGCGCGACTGCAGGGCCGTGTTCGGGGTGACATTCAGTTCATCAAGGAGGAGATGGAGAGCATGAACAGCTTCCTGCTACACCTAGCCAGGACGTCACCTCCGGGCGGCGAGCACGACGAGCAGGTGCGAACCTGGATGAACCAGGTTCGGCTCCTCGCCCACGACTGCAACAACTGCATCGACATGTACCTGTACCATGGCAACCCTGATATTCAACGCGCTAGGGGCGGCCTTTGGAGCTACCTCTGGTGGGTACCCTGGTTCCTGCAGAAGATGCTCGCCCAGCACCGCGCGGCCATCCAGCTGGGTGAGCTCAAGAACCGGGCGCGTGATGTTGGCGAGCGGCGACTGAGGTATGGTGTGGAGGTGCCCGGGAAGGTGACGGCGGGGAAGTCTCCTGCTCCTCCTGGGCACTCACTGGCGCCCGGGACGATAACACCATCGTCGTCTTATCTTCCTGGAGGTGATGATGCAGCTGGGGTGGATGATGAACAAGACGAAGACAATCAATTGGCAACTACAACACATCATCACAGCAGAAGAGAACCTTTTCAGGTTCGCTCTCTGGAGGATTACTTTAGAGACAAGCTAGTTGATTGGATAAAGGAAGCTACGTCCACACAAGACGAACAAATACCTTGCGTCTCTGTTGTTGCACCATGCACAGAGGACGCCGGAGCCATCGCACAAGAAACATTGGATGTGGCAGCGACCCATTTCCATTTCTAGGATCACTACAACCCTGGGAAGTTCTCTGCTACATATCATGTGGTTGCTCAACCATCCTAAATCTCAATCCAAGCAGGAAGGCAGCACGGGTGAAGACAAGGAGGACCGGAACCATACTCGTTCCCAAGCTTGGCAGGAAAGATGGGAAATGCGTTATGAAATTAGGGGACATATCAGAGAAAGGGAGAATTGGGTCAAGATTGAAAAAATCAATGAAACAATTACTGAAGAAATGAAAATGATGCCTGAGGTCGACCAGATGCACAAGGAAGGCCAAAGCTCCATTCAACCCTTAGGCATACTACTCCATGCTCTGCAGCTACTAGTGGCAGCAGCTGAGAGTAAGATTGAATCAAGCGAAGAAAAGGATAAGACTCCACAAGGAAATGGAAAGGATGAGAATCAACAAGGAAATGGAAATGATAATTCTGAACATGTCAAAAAGAAGGACAAGGCCCTGCGTACCCTACAAAACTACGACATTGATGAAACTGCCTCAAAGCTTTTACAATATATGCAAATGAAAAATGAAGCAGACAAAAAGGCGGAACCACCGGCCAACACTGATTTGGATGTTACCAAATATAAACACATCCTGTCTGAGTTGTTCCCCAACAGCAAGCGGTTGCAGTTGCTGGCCAAACAACAAGATGAATCGACCAAGCGAGAATCAGTGACTACCGGCGACAGTAATACATCTGGCGAGAATCAAATTAAAGAAATCGTCCACAAGTTCACACGTGAAATCATACAAGAGCTATTGGAGGACACAGTGAAGAAACTGGCAACAGGTACAACAACTCAGGTTCAAACCTCTAATGTTATTGATGAAACCAAACAAAAGATCCAAGCATTGTGCTGGGAGATTGAAGATCACATGTTCATCAAAGGGATCGTGAATAAGATTAAAAATAAAATGGGATATCAAAGGCCCCCGCTGATTATTGTCAAAGATGAGCAGAACGATTTACCTGAATGGAAGAGTACAAGAAAAGCTTTGAGCTAGTTGGAATGTGTCGGAGCCAAGGAATATTGTGATTGTGACAACCACAGACAACACTGAAGGGGCCAAGGAATATTGTGACTGCAACAAATCGTGTCCTGCTTCTGAAGATCAAGCGCCTACTATCTGGTTACAATGATCTGGTTCCAAGTAATACTGACACTGAACTCACGCCCAGTCTTGAGAGTCCAAGCCATACTTGCACCAAAATCATATGCAGTGTCCAGATTCCACGCAAGATTGGAAAAATGTTAAACATGGAGGAACTACACAATGTGCATGCGTCAAAGACTGGTAAAGAGTTGAAGGACATTGGAAAGCTGTGTCAGCTAAGGAAGCTTGGTGTGGCCATAAAGGGCACAAATGATCATTTGACCAATTTGTTTCAAGCGATTGGTGACCTGTGCGAGTGTCTCGACTCTCTGTCACTCACTCTTCCCATACCCACAGGCGAGACAAGTTCTTTCAGTGCAGAACTACAAAAGGCAATTTCTTCTCTCCTGAATGACATGCCTAAGAATCTTCAGAATCTAAGCATCAACGGGACCACACAAAATGTGGAGATTCTACCATTGCTGGCCAAAGATTGTGATAAACTTGCCAAGGTAACTCTAAGCAATACCTTCCTCAAACAGGAAAATCTGAATATCCTCTCCAAGTCGACCAACCTACAATGTATGAAGCTTGGACACAATGCATACAAGGATACTAGTCTCAACATGAAGGCGGGTGAGTTCCCAATGCTCAGATACTTTATTGTTGTCGGCTCCAACATGAATGACATCATGTTTGAACATGAAGCACCTCCTGAACTTGAGAAAATTGTTTTTTTCTCCACTAATATAAACTCCCTTTGTGGAGTGTATGACCTTCCAAAGTTGCAGGAACTTGAGTTGAACAACAGCAGCAAGTTGCTTTCATTGTTTGGCAATGCCAAAAAAAAAAAAAAAACCAAAGTGACTCTTCGTGATGACAAGCTGAAGGAAAGCGATGTACAAATTCTCTCAAAGAGAACAGGCCTTTTGTGCCTAGTTCTATCTGGCAAGTCTTGTGATAAAGAAAAGCTTGAATTCAATAAAGATGACTTACCAAATCTTAACTTTGTTGCCATCAACTGCCCTGATATTGCCAACATCAGCTTCTCCAAGGGATCTGCTCCAAAGCTCAAGAAAATTATATGGTCTATCACCAGCATGGGCTCTATCTCTGGTATTAAGAACCTTCCAAGATTGATGGAACTTGAGATCTATGGAGAAGTTGTTACAAATGAGGTGAAGGAAGCCATTGAGGTACATAAAAACAGTCCTGATTTGATACACTATAAACCAGAGAAACAACAGAAAACAAAAGGAAATGCACCAGCAGAGGCCAATGTTGGTAGACTCTCATTCTTCTGGAAGCATAGGCGTTGACGCTGGAGGTGTGGGCCTTCTTTTCGTCCATTATTATCATCGAATGGCATGGTGGTTTGTGTGTGTGTGTGTGCTTAAGTCGTTTTCCATCTGTTCTGCATGTTTATGTTTGTCTGATCTGCCTGACTATGTTTGCTGAACTAGCATAAATCTCGGCTGAGTGTGCTGGACTGTCCAGTTACATGTTCCACTAACGTGCGCATTCTGCTTGTGGTTGAGCATATTTGTTATGTCTATGTCTGTATATGTATGTGCTAAACAGAATGGTTGCGTGGCTTTCCATTCAACCATAATGTTGTATGGTTTTATGTAATAAGTGCGGTACTTGTGCGCACATTTGTTTTCTCTGTCTGCCGTGTGCTACAATAATATGCTTTATTTGGGTGTTACAGTGATGAATTGGTGTGTACTGATAACGAGGATGTAACGCCCTAGTATACCTATATTTGTGACCCTTGTTACATGAGGTGCATCTATTTTGTGACCAATGTATATACCCTTTTTTAAAAAATATTTGCAAAATTTCTATGGTAGACATAAACACGCAAGATATGCTTACGCAAAATTTTAGATTTTTTCCATCTCTTTTAGATATTATTAGAACTAATTAGTGGTAATATGGACACAGAAAGTAGAATTAATTATCTTTGCAAAACAATTGATTTTTTCATCTGTTTGTGCGACAAGTGATTGAATGGACCATATCTGTATCGAGGTCTCTCGTCATTTAGGGATCACACCTAAGAGGAGTAAATTAGACTTTCTAAAAGCTTCTACTCTAAACCCTAAACTTCTACTCTAAACTTGGTCTCTAATTTCATTTATAAAACCTATGCAAGAAAATAATATATCCAGATGTGCAATTAAAATTTTGCTAAATGTTGCTATATTTACCGTAAAAAGACTTAGCATCCTTCCAAACCTATCACTTAGCCTAGCTAGCAAACTAAACTAAGAAAGTAAATCGCAAAATAAATGTGGAAGCTTAAGTAGTAGAGAATGCAAACTTTCGTTGACAACTTGTATTTCTTCCGAGATATTGAGAAGCTCACTCCCCCTAGCTTTCATTGGAGTCCCTCGCAAGAGCCAAGCTTTCAGTCGGGTAATTTCATCTATAGTTCCCGGGCCTTTCCCACACGTAAGTTGGTCTCTGAGGTGTCCTCTCCCTTCCTGTTGTCTTGAGTATCGAGCTTCTAGTTGAAATGCTATGGGCCTCGTTCCCTCAAGTACATCGATGGCGGCCACACCATAAACGCGATTGGGGTGATCTCCAAGACTCCAAGCCCTTCCGAGTATAATAATGGTGCGCGCAAACACCGAGCGATAAGAGATATGCAAACCTCACTAATACTAGTCTAAACCTAGAGCAAGCGTATATAGAGGTCTAACTAACCTAAACACTTTTCAAAGCACCTACACTAATGACCGAGTGATTTCTCTAAGCACTGTAGTGACAAGAGCACTAGAGTGGAGCCTCAACTTCCTTGGTATGTTCCTTAATTCCTACACATCCCAAATGATCAGTTGGGGATATTTATAGCCCCTGCATCCAAAACTAGCCGTTAGTGTGAATTTGTAGTTTCTATAGTAGCACCAGACTTCTAGTGCCCCATAAGAGTTTTTCACCACGTCGACTCCATTTGAAAACTAACTGAATTCCAATGGTCACCCGAGAAGAAGCGCCGGAGCAATGGTCTTAACCCTTCTTTCTGGTGGTCACCGGAGTCCATCACCAGAGTTTTCTGCTGGTCACGCGAAGAATAGCACCATAATTTTTCACTACTCAATTTTCATCATGACACTTTCATATTTTGGGCGTATTTTTTTGCTCCAAATTCTGATTTTGATGATCTTGGACATTTTTGAAAAGCTAATGAAGGGATCTACAACTGTGAACTATTATCATATAAATTTTAGTAGATCCAGAATCATGAGACTTACCAATTCATCCATCTCTTTGTCCCGACTTCAATTGATTGAATTTCTTTTGTGGTGTCCGATCTTCAATTTCTTGATGTCTTAGACCTCTAGCATGTCTTGTAGGTCTTCAACATGTCTTCTAATGTCTTGCTTGAGGTGTTGATTACTCCGATCTTCACGTTGCCTTAAGTCCATGCCAACCTTGCATCTATTGAACTAAATCTTGTATACTAGCAAACATCATTAGTCCAAATGGTCAAGTTGTCAATCAAACACCAAAGCCACATAATGGCCCATGCAAGGTGTCATTTTCTTAAAATCTCTTCCTTTTTTTGACTGATGACAACACGACCAAAACAAGCAAAAAATAAATACCAGTTGTAAATAAAATTACAAACTATCTACTTGCTTGGATGCAATGCAAGAGCATATAATGCTAAATGAAATATGCAAGATACCACATGCATATGACTTACTTGCTCTTACCATTTGTAATATGTCCCCTTATGTGGCATTATGGACTTAAGCCTCCTCCTAACTCTACTATCCACTTCCTCCCTTTCTAGGACCAATTCTCCTTGTTAATCAAAGACTCCCCCATACAATACCATTCCAAAAATTTAAATTTGACTTTGATATTTATTATAGATTGGGCTTGCTTTTGGTCCCATAAATTCTTCTCCTTTAGAATCGGACACCGAAAAGGAAGATATTAGGAGCACAAGAAAGGGTCAATTTTTGTGGTCCTTTGTATATGGAGTGGAATTGATCACAAAACTTGACTCACATTACAAACTGAGCTCCCCCTAAGTGTATGCATACATATGGTGGATGGCAAAACATATGTATAGACCGGCAATTAATCATAAAGGGAATTTAATCTATATAATGCACGAAGAAAGCATATAAAAGATAGTAGTTGCAATACAACAAATTGATATTGAGTTTGAGATGATACCAATTCAAGTAATCCAATTGTCGTTGAAAGCATCTAGGCCCCTAATTAGGTTTCGGTGATTAATGACAATATAAGATTACTGTGACTAACGTGTGTTTTGCAGAGGCAATTAAGTTAGGTCACGGTAATGGAGATCGATTGGGCAATCATGGTTGTCATGCCCCTACGATGGAAATCGTTTCGGTTTTCAAAGGATGAACGATAAGGTTAAGGATGGACTAGTTCTAAGTGTCGTTTAGAGTTGAAGAGACACTTAGAATAGTTTAGGACTTTGTTTTTCCTTTGACCGTACTATTAAGAGGGGTATGGACAGGTAGCTTGATCTAGACGAGTCTAGTGAGTTAGGTGTGGTGCACACTTGTTAAAACTAGCGCTAGGTAGCTCCTACATATGCCTAAGATCCTTTGTAGCAAACTTCATTCACGTATGATCGAGAGTTGGAAGTGAATAGAGGGTCAAATACTGACCGGACGCTGGCTTCGGTGTGATCGGATGCTGGCGCAGAGTCCGGTCAGTTCATTTGACCAAGGTGAAATTGTTCGGTGCGACCGGACGCTGGAAGGTCATGTGACCGGACGCTGAGAGCCAGCATCCGATCGTTTCCAGTAAGGTTCTAGAGATGGAAAATCGTGACCGGACGTGTCTGGTCAGTGCTTACCGGACGCTGGCAACGTTCGGTCACACTGTAATCACTGAAGTTCGGGGTGTACTGACTGGAGTGTCAGTCAACATAACCGGAGCGTCCGGTCACCCCGCAGAGGCATATAACGGTTCGTTTTTCAGCCCATGTTATAAATAGAAGCTCCACTCGTGTGTAGAGTTACTTTTGCTCATTCCAACAGCTGAAACACACCTTAGAGAGTGCCAAGAAGAGCAAGGTTCTAGTGAGGTGATTGAGATTTGAGAATCCCAAAGGGAGCCCTCATTAGTGAGATTAGGAGTAGCAAAATGTGCATCCATCTTTCTCCCTAGGCTTGTCGTGGTTAAGTGAGAGTTCGTGCTTGTTACTCTTGGTGATCGCCATCACCTAGACGGCTTGGTGGTGGTTAGAGAGCTTGTGGATGACCCAACTCAAGTTGTGTGCGGTTGTGGGTGATTCACCGCGACGAAGTGTCGAAGAATCAACCCGTAGAGAGCACTTGATCCTTGCGCGGATCAAGGGGGAGCTACACTCTTGCGCGGGTGCTCCAATGAGGACTAGTGGGGAGTGGCGACTCTCCGATACTTTGGTAAAACATCGCCGCGTTCCTCCTCTATATTTACTGTGAGCATTTACTTTGAGTATTTAATTTGAGTAATTACTTTGAGCATTTACATTGAGCAATTCAATTCTTGTCTTTACAATTCATAGAATTGTCATGCTAGAGTAAGATTGGAACCTAGGTTACAAGTCTTTTGTGCGGTAGAACAATTAGAAACACTTTTTATACACAAGGGGTTAATTGGGCTAACCGTATGATTTAATTATTGGAAAGAAATTTAGAATTAGCCCAATTCACCCTCTCTTTTGGGCATCTTGATCCTTTCAATTGGTATCAGAGCCTTGTGCTCACATATTTAGGCTTAACCGCCTAGTGAAAGATGTCTCATGGGGATAGACCACCTCCTATCTTTGAGGGGCACAATTTTTCTTATTGAAAAATTCATATGGAGGCGTACCTAAAAACTCTAGATGTTGGAATACTTAGAGCCGCTTCACAAGGTTTCCCAAAACCTCGGGATGCCGCACACCCACAAGGCGATGAGTTGAACTATGAAAAATGAAATGCAAAGGCTAGAAACACCATATTTAGAGGCCTTTGTAAAGATGTGTTCAACTAGGTGAGGAATCAGAAAGACGTCCATGCACTATGGTCGGACGTTTGTACGCTCCATGAAGGAACAAAGAATGAGCGTGAGGAACGCTATCATCTTGTCATGAAATAGCTCAACTCTTTTGAAATGCTTTCTAAAGAATGTGCTAATGAAATGTATTCACGTTTGAATGTTCTTGTAGAGAAAGTCAATGGGCTTGGACTCACTCAAATGCAACCATCCGATGTTGTAAGAAAAATCTTGAGTGTCCTTCCTATTGACAAATATGGGCATATTGTGACCGTGCTATATCAAGGTGATCTTTCCA